TGAATTATACTTTGTTTCTAAGAAGTCGAAGATGAAGTATAAACTTTGCATCCACATATTATACTATTTATGATTATTCTAGGGAACTGTATAAAATAAAATTTATTTGCAATACAATTTTAGGAAATCAGGTTAACTGTTTAAAGTACCTTAATTGATTTATAACTTAATAAGTGAGTAGCAGATTCAAGTATAGCCTTTTTTTTTTTTTTTAAGGTTCTGTTTTGGATCCTCTAGGCTTGATTGGTCTAAACGTAAACATTATGTTTTCACTTCTCATTTACTTTTAGGTTACCAAAGAAGACTTTGCCACTTTTGATTATATACTATGTATGGATGAAAGCAACCTGAGGTAATCGTATTTTTAAAGGTTATTTCTCTTCAACTCGGTTCAGTAATAGGCTAGGCAGTTTGTTGTCCAAAATGACTTTTCTAGTACCTTAAACTTGTAATATATAATGATGGTCACAACATGTGGAAGTACTTATTTAGAATAGTAAGAAATCCAGGGAATAATTTAGAATTGAAGTCTCATAGATCTGTTTACACTTAGACACACCCTTTGGTAAGGAAAAGTCTGATATATAAGGTGATGCTTTGTTTTGCAGGAGAATGAGTTTGTTATTGCTGTAATGATTCACGGCCAACATGGTGTTGTATTGTGTTTCTCATCTTATTCCCCCTTACAGCTGCCTCACAGCAACCCCCAAAAAAAGACTAACAAAAAAGAAGACGTTTTAGTTCATTTAAATTGTTGATTGCCTTAATCAATTTAAAAAACAAAAACTGTCAGATTAAGGTATTAGGTAAAAATGGCTAAGACTGGTGCGTATCGTGTGCTGTGCACGCCAAAGCCCTTCCTCTGAAGGTTTGCACTGTTGCTCCGTCTTATCAGAGAGGAATTCGAGGCACAGAGAGGTTACATTACTTGCCCAAGGTCACAGATTCAGTGGTGGGTGTGTTGGAATTTTAGCCTAGGCTCTGTGAGGCATGAGTCACACTCACCACCGTGCCCTATCGCCTCACTTGTGCGTTTGACCTCAGGGGACATGGATCTGGGCAACAAGGAGCTTGGTGTGGCATTTCTTCAGCCAGGCACTGGTAACCAATGATGAGAGCGTTTTCCTGGGCCTCTCCTCCTGAAGTCTGAGGTGGGCTTACATGTGTTATGGGCTTCATGTATTCAAATTAAACCTAACAAACAATATGATACAATGTGACCATGCAAAGATAAATGAATACGATGTATTTTACAAATATAGAGGCAGACTCGGGCTAAGTGACCAAAGGGAATGTATGAGCAGACCATGCACCAGTTGCAAGACGGGCACCGTGCTGCCTGTCACACAGTAGGTCTTGCTGAGTGAGATGCCTCAGCAGTGCGCCTGCAGGGCCCTTGGTGTCTGCCCTCACCAAAAGGACAGAGACGAGCCCGCGGTGTGAGCGCAGGACCACACTGCCTTGCTTCCCTGCTAACCCGTAAATGTTGCGTGTGTTTGATTAACAGAAACTCTTTCCTTTAGTCACTGTTGTAGGGTGGACAGGTACGGATGCAACAGGCTTACCTAGGTTTTCATTAATCACGAACTGCGTTAAAATACATAGATTTTCTATTTTTGTTTTTCACTTGTTAGTTTTATTTTTCTCAGTTACAGAATAGCTCATCAGTATCATCAACAGTGTCTTGTTAGAGAACTCTGTGTGGCACCCTGTCTACTAATGAAATGTCCAGACGTGGTTGGCACTTGGTGGTGTAGCCCGAGCCACCCCTGCTCCCACCTGCCCTTCACGTTTCAGCCTCGGTGGCTTCCTGGGGAGGGTCTGTGCTCTGAGGCCTCGCGGGTTTCCCGTTAGACTCTGTTGTCCCCCATAGAGATTTGGTAACCAAATGCAGGAACAGTCCACACGAAGCTCAGTGAGAAAGCTGAGGTGGGAGATGGGCGCGTGGAGTGGGTGCAAGGACCACCGTCAGGACACCTTAGCGTGGAACCTCCCGCCCTCTGGGACTTGGTTCTCATGGCGTTTTGCGTTCCACTCTGTCACCTTGTCAGGAGGATGCTGATTATTGTCTGGCTCAAAGCTGTGCGTTTCGTGTAAATCCCCTGCTGTTGCGAGCTCCCTTGCCTGAGACGCAGAGCCCCAGACTGCAGCCCCAGGGAGGGCCGTGCAGAGCTGCCGAGTGTTTGAGTTCCTCTTTAAATCAGGTCACTTTTGCTGGATTTTGATATAGGTGCTTCATAAAACCCTAGCAGACGTCCCAGTTTAACTTGAAACCATAGATCAGAAAACTGAGTTCATGTTTCAATTTTACAGAGATTTGAATAGGAAAAGTAATCAAGTTAAAAACTGCAGAGCGAGAATTGAACTACTTGGGAGCTACGATCCACAGAAAAAGCTCATCATTGAAGACCCTTATTATGTAAGTATGGTTCTCACTTCCATCCTGCGGTTCACGGGTAGGGATAACGTAAACACCAGCCTGTCTGTGTGCCCTCACGTTGGGAGTCGGAGGCAGACTCCTGAAGGGCCTTTTCCTTACGCAGGCTTCGTTACTCTTCCTTTTCCCTGTCTTTTCAGGGTAATGAAGCTGACTTTGAGACCGTCTACCAGCAGTGTGTGCGGTGCTGCAGAGCCTTCCTGGAGAAGGTTCGCTGACCCGGGTCCAGCCCTGCTGCGGCCCAGGCTCGTTCCCACAGGCCCGCATTCTCAGTCAGGTGTCACAGTGTCGCCATTCCCTAGCCAAGGCCACAGCCCTTTTCTCAGTTGACTCACTGTTTCTTACCTTAAAAATAATTGTAGATGGAAACCAGTTGTTGCGTTTGGTGGACGAATAAATAAAAAATTTTGATTCAGCCAGTTTATGGGGTAAGTGTTCTTAGACTAGTTGAACCTCCCACTTTGCCCCAGTTACAAAAATAGTGGAACAAAGAAAATTGCAGAGCAGCAAAATAGAACACAATGAAGTAAAGCATCACTGTAAGGCTCGGCAGCATCTGAGCCATCGGCACTTCCAGGAATCTGCACTACCTCTTCCCTCTGTGTGGACGGGGCCCCTGCCCTGCACTCCCTCTTGATGCCAGGGCCTGGTGTCCAGTGATGTTGGCGAGAAGTGTTCACACACAGGCACAGCGCACACTGTGCACTGACAGGACAGGAAGGAGGAAGGTTTGCGTGACTCGTCTTCAGCACCTTCACTCCTTAGTTTGTGTCTGTCTAGTTGATTTCATAAGGAAGTCACCTTATGTGTTCTGTTTGAACCACTTTGCCTCTGGAAATGTAGTTATGTCCGGGAAGAAGGACACTTGTGTGCTGGTTTACCTTAGGGTCAGTGTGGGGACCACGTCTGCTTTACATGCATGTGATTAACCTGAATGTCAAATATAGATCAGCTTAGGTGGGAAAAAATAAGTGGGAAAAAAGTCCTTTTATGTTGGAATGCTTAAATATTGATATGTTAAGTATTCTTTTATCAGTGCTTAGTTTATAGGCAAATATAGGTAATTTCTGTGCACTTGGAGATAACTGATCTAAAATTCATATGAATATATGTCAGAAAAGATTGTTTTCAAATAAACTGGGGAAATTACAAAATTACAGCTAAGTACAAGTCTGGTGTCTGCCTGTTTTTCTACTGACAGGTGGGGAAGAATCAGAAAGCATTGCCTCCACTGTCCCTTTTGGATGATGTGTGATGTGTGCCTGTCTGCCCCGTGCCGGGCAGCACCCTAAGCAGCGTAAGTGCCTAAGTAAGCACGTTGCTTCCACTCAAGTAATCTGTTCATGGGAGAAGCTGGCAGCCCTGCAGCCACAGCAGCCTTGCCTGCGCCCCATCCTTAGTGGAGTGTGGGTTCTCCTTGGGGCCAGCACCCCAAGGCAGACCCCTGTGGATGGCTAGATGAGGGACAGCTTTTCTTCTCTCGGTCTTCACCCCAGTTCATCGTTGATGACCCGAAGTCCCGGGAGGACTCTGGGTCACAGATCGGTCTGAGTGACGGTCGCTCAGAAGCAGGGAGAGTTCAGAGGAACGGCTTCTGGTCTTCAGTATCACAGGGGCCTCAGACGGGGGACCTTCAGTCCTGAGCTTACTCGGGCCTGAGGGATGAGCAAGGTGTCTTTCCCACCAGGCCACCGGGGGCGGCAGACTCAGGGACACCGGGGAGGCAGCGGCAAGAAGGCTGGCCAGGCGTGTGTGTGGTGGCCTGCGGGATCGCTCCATGAGGGCTTATCCTGAAACGTGGGAGGATTGAGAATTTGATAATGGTAGCTTTAAAAAGTAAAGAATTGAGGGAAAAAGTCGACCTGCAACTAGGAAACAGGAAAGTAAAGCACTTCAAAAATTACACCCTAGTGCCCTAATCGTTCAGTAATTGCTTAATACTCTCAAAGTAAGGAAATTTCTTACTCTTTTCTGTTCCTTTATGTTGATGAATAAATCTCTCTAGTTTGTTTTCTTTAACATTTACACACATGTCTTAAACACAGACCCTCAGACAAATCCTAGGGTTCCTAATTGACTTTGTCCTTAGGCTGTATCCAGACTAGGGCTCATGTGAACAGGAAACCTCGTTGCTGAGTTCACTTGTCTGAAAAATTAGATCCAGTCAGATTTGTTCAAAATATATCTACCTGTAAAAATCTGGAGCTTTTTGGAAGTCTTAAGGTCCCTCTTAGTTTAGCGTTTCCATTACAAGGTCACACAGGAAATACGGAGTTTAGTGTTTCCATTACAAAGTCATACAGGAAATACGGATGCAACCTTATTTGAAATATTCGCTACCAAATCACGTACGTTAAGAAATACGTCGCCAGTATATAGTGCCACTCTCTTTAAAAAATGCTAATGTCCCTTACAAGAATTCATAGCTTTCTCGTTTTATTTACTTATGCCTTTTATATTCTGTGATATCCTGCCAGTATTTCAATCTTTTCAAAAGATTTGTAAATCATGAATTCCCAATGATGAACTTGTTCAGGAGTAAAGAGTCACTTTGAAGACTTCATTATAACAAACACTTCATTTATTACTTGCGTTTTATTTACAGTATCTACATATTGCACAGTATCTAGATACTATTTTACATTTATTATACAAAGGACAAATGAAATTAGCCTGAGCATGTACACAGATTTACACTCCAATGTCTCCACAACTGAAGTTCTTTTCTGTCTCTTTTTATTTATTTATATTTTTTAAATTTTTCATGCAATTCCAAATGATACTCTGGGCATTTAATTGTAAAAGTAATAAAATATTAAATAATACCATATGCTATATGAAAATATAGTTTTAGATTCTGCTGATTCTGCTTATGCTTCTCAAGAAATATTTGTGACGTCACCTAATCAGGAAAAGGAGATCTCTCTGCCGCTTCACAGCATGACACATCAAACGTGGAGCACTCTCCTGTTGTCTAAAATGACCGGTGGCAAGCATTACTGTCGGGCACACCCATTTACTGACTCTGTGCCCACAGACGGTGTCAACATACAAAACTCAAGGTAAAGGAATTATGGGAGAGGCTGTCTGCAAAAATAAATCTCTGTTCATGGGGCGTGTCCAGAAGGCAGTGGGCTCTGCCCTGCTGGTCTCCAAGGCACTTCTCACGGTCCCAGGCCGCTGCTCGTCCGCGGCGCTCTGCTCGCTGCGAAACAAACACGTTTGGGTTCAGAGAATGATTCACAGTTGCTTATTGATTCTGGAAGACCTATACATTCAATTACGTGTAACATAATGTGTGCACTGATGTGAGGAATTGCAGTCTGCATGTTTCCCTGTGTGCCAAAATGTGTGTCTATTTTATTCTGGAAAGTAACTCAGTGCTCACGGGCCTGCTGCGCTAAAGGGATGGAAATCATCACAAACGAAGAGAGATGCTTGCTAGGGTCTGAAGAACAGTGCTCAGTGTTGATGCGTCTGCCGCCAAGTCCTTGGTAGTTCAGTCCACGCTGATGTGGGGTGATCCTGGGTTGCTCAGAATAGGCTGCATTTTGTAGAGCGAGCTGGATACTTCTTACTCAAAACTCTGCTTCTCTGAAAGTATTCCAGGGCTCAGGCTTGTAACTTACTGGAGCGCCAAGTCCAGGTAGTGAGGGGTGTGTTTGGGAGGCTCTCCTGCTGTGTGGGAGGATGGCTGCGAAGCTACAGCTTCCCTTTGGCTCGAGGAGATCAGGTCATGAGTTTCAGCAAGAAGGAGCAAAGGGATCGGGCTCTGCTCTGAGACCACAGTGTGGAGGGTCCCTGTGCTCGGACCCCTCTAAAGACCCACTTCTTTCAGACTGAGCCTTTAAGAAGTTGAGGCTCTGGTCTGGAGTAGGAAGAGGAGTCTTACCCTGCAGCTTTGTCGTGACATCTTCATGTGTTAGGACGGCGGAAGAAACGTATGTGGACGCAGCTTACGCCACTTAAGGAAAACCTGCTGCTAACGCAGGATGTGTGCTCTGCCCCCCGGGACATCAGGGTACACAGAAACCCTTGACTGTCTGCGTCGTCACCAGCCAGTTAAGACTTTGCTACTGCAGTTTAGAACTTCTGGAGTTGGAAGAAATTAATCTTCTTTTAAATGTTACAAAATTATTTTAGCAGAAGTATCTGTATTTTAAACTACCCACTTCTTGACCAAAGTGAACACGGTTACCGACAGCGGTGACCAGTGCGATGTGGGTCTCCGTGTTGTGTTGGGAAAGCCCTGGTGTGCCCGTCCTGAGACGGTGCAGAGGTAGGTCCACGCTCGGGTGCAGTTCCACGGAAGCGTAGGCTCCTGGGTACCATTACTCTCGACTTTTCGCTCCGGGGAGCTGTCTCTGCAGGAGAGCAGTCTTTGGGGAACCACTGTGGGGAAGCAGGCGGTTAGCTCGCAGGCACAGAGACAGGAAGCCTGTGGCCTGAGCGGTTCTTCGGTGGATGTGGACGCTGGGCATCTGGTCTCCCCACTTGTGAGTAGATGGCGGTGGTTTTCCAAGGATGTGCCTGGTTCATCTTTGGAAATAGTGGTGCTTTAACTATAAAGAAATGCTTAATGAAAACAGCATTCTCATCTCCCCAGGCAGGTACTTTGGGAGACTTACAAGAATCCATTCATTGCTTTAAAAATAAGAAGTTTTCTGTTTGCCATGTGGGCAGTGGAAGAGAAACTGGACAGCATTCAGATGAGAAGTGAAGGTGGAGGAATTTCTCAGCTTTGGCATTAAAAACTGTGCTTTCACTTCCCCCACATAGAAAGTGTTATACAAGTTTCAGTGAGCTTGGGGAAAATGTGGGATGATACCCTCCACTAACCACTTGTTTCACTGAACCCCCATTTGCTAGTGGGACTTCTGATGGGAAGAAGCAGCGCTAAGGACGCAGCTCAGGGCAGCACCCACTGCCCGGCTGACCCCGAGCATCTGTGCAGACGTTGTTCAGCGCAGCCTTCGCCACGGTGAGCACCCCTCCTCCACTCACAGGAGGCGAAGGGACAGCCATCTGACTGCAAGGTAGACCCAGCATCTGGCTGTGCCTGGCACACAAGACACACAGCTAGTGTCCAGTTGTGAAGTTACAGTTTGTGGCTGAAATCGATGGCATTTGTCTCAGGAAAATAAAACCTTTCAGCCCATCCCTTGACTCTTGCTGACAGTTAGTGTTATGTGTTACATGTCAGCCCTCAAGAGGCCAAGGCAAAAAGTTTAGCTCGTAAACTCAATGTGTGTTTATATTTTTACCATCAGAGGCTTTTAAAAAATAACTTTGATGGAAACATTTGAAGAGGGTACCTATTCTTAGCTGTTCTTTTTACGTGTATTGGTATAATGACAGAATTCAATGCAAACATTTGCCAGATACGTCGCTAAAATTCGCATGGATATGGTTAGTCATATACTCATTTATGAATGTTTGAATGAAAGCCTAGAAGTGGGTGGGCAGATACACACCATGTCACACGCTGAAGTCAGTAGTCAGTGGGCTGTGTGCAGGTTAATGTGAGCTCGGCCAGCGTGTCCTCCTGCGACCAGGTCTCAGTGGCTGCCTGGGGTGCTGTGTGTTTACTGCTGACCAGTACCTAGAGCTATTTTGAGTGTTCTGTCAGCCTTACTCAGAGTAAGGCTACTTTACCCAAAGAATGACTGTCTCTAAACTCCCATGAATTTTTCATGTCCCACATGCATCCAGTCTTTGGTGTGTGGGCCACAGCGACTGGGCTGTCAGCTTACCTTATCCCTCCATGCACATCGGACTGACAGCCAGCCGAGTAAGAAGCCGGGCGCATCTCTTATAGTCTACAAGGGAAATAAATCACAGACCCTCGTCAGCTACCTCAACAACTTAAATGAATTGCATTCACTTTAAACAAGCATAGCAACTGCTAAAGCCATTCATTCCTTTAAATATTCTGAATTCCTTGGAAACAATACATAGACTGTCATCTGCAATCATGGCTCGAAGTTGTTGATTTAATAATTTATGGTGCCTCGGGCCTTTAGCATCACGTGACAGAAATTAAACGATGTAACTGGGAGGCTGTGGGAAGTGGGGATGCAGAGTCTCCCACGCGGCTGCTCTCTGCCTGTTTTCTCCTCGCGGTAGCTGCTGGGCTCATTAAAACAGCTTTCGTTTTGCTTCCTAGAGTACAGTTGGTCTTCCCGTGCCCTGTGTTACTTAACTTTTAGGTCACGTGCGGGCCGAGTCCCCTCTTGAGTTAATCATAACACAAAGCCTTCTGCACAGAAATTCTAAAGACAGTGGGTCAACAGCCAAGTACCAGAGCAAAAAACCTGGCTGGACAATGGAGGGAAGCAAGAGCTGATTTCTGAGCGCAGACTGGTTTTCCTAGGTATCTCGTATGGTTTCCTGTTTCAGTAGTCTCATAGGTGCTGCCTCAGAGGACACAGCAATCACGCCCGTAAAGGGATTCCTCAATACGAAGTTCAATTCTCAAGAGTCACAAAATCCTACTTAAAGATGGAAGAATTCAGACTCTTAGCTGAAATTCTGAGTGAATGAGTAAATTGACAGCAGTAAATGCGCACAGCATGTCTGTTAGGCAAGCACCTAAGCCTTCCAAAAACACACCTGCTAAACATCTAGAGGACATGATAGTTTGGGCTCAAAGGAAACAATTATGTGGCAGCTGGGGGCTTTTCTGCTCTTCAGATGTGCCGTGTTTTCAGGATGTGCTTTTCCTAGAGGAAAAGGAAAAGTGGAGGCGGCGGACTGCAGGAGCTCAAAGGAGATACTGGCACTTGCCACACACCCTGAGATCCTGAGGGCGACCACCACCCCGCTGGGCCACATGTTCTTCACCCTGATGTCCACCAGGGGTCCCTTAAGGTGCAGACTTTTCTCAGCAGGTGTGGTGGACTCACAAGTCCTGCTCTTCCCGAGAGCTCACCCCAGGACCACACCTTGAGTGAGAAGGTCTGTGGTTCCTTCTGTCTAACCGGCCAGGATTCTGGGAACTGTCGTATGCAGCCTTGAGCAGCACAGAAGTGGTCAGGTTGGCTCTGCAGCTCTTTATGGGCTGAGAGAGGTGGGACCCACACAAGCAGCCACTTGTCCAGGGCACAGATCTGCTTCCAGGCCCAGGGGCATTTCTGACCGGGCCTGGTCCCACCGCCTCACCTTATGGGTGACTAGGAGCTTGGTGGCGGCCCGCTCAGCAAAGGAGGCAGCAATGTGGGTGGCGCCTGCGATGGGGCACACGCAGCCTAAGTGCCTTGTCTGTGTCCTTGTCCGTGAATGAAAGGATTCAAGCAATGACCCTAAGTGTCACTTTCAAATTTAGAATCTGATCCTATTATTGTAAAAAAAGACTTAATATAAAAATATATACACATTGAAACAAAATGAGAAGGTTCTCTGACCCCTAGAAGCAGGCTAGTAATTCTCCAACAGAAGGTGATTCCATTTCAGAGGAAGGAAAGAGGGAGGTGAGGTGTCCCAGGTCCACATGGCCTGGATGAGAGGGTGAGCCTGGAGTTTCCGGGACACGGGTGCCGCCCATTGACTCGTGCCACTGTCCCCGTGGTAGCCTTGAGCGGGACCACGTCAGCTCCCTCCTGAAGGCGCTCCCTGTCTGCCTGCCATGTTTGGGGACGTGCGAGACAGGAGCTCCATAAAGGGGTGCAGCTGCCTGCACACAGCAGCTTCCCCTTCGTGGACAGGGGCTTACTGTTTTGAGCAGGACGGGCAGGTCTGGTCTGCTGCCCCTTCGGACAGTCCTGAAGGCAGCTCCTAGGAGACCTGGCTTATGTGTACAACTGCCCTCCTGTGAGCCTTAAATGGAAGGCAAGTTGTGGTCCCTACACACACAGAAAAGTTGGTGTAGGGCTCTAGCAGATGTCCCTCTAGCTAATAAGTTACTTGTCATCATTGTATGTTTTGTAAAGAGCACAAGAAAGCACTTTTGGGGGAATGAGTGCACTTGTTGTGGATGAACCAGGAAGTTACAGCTGAGAGCCAGACAGAAAAGGGCACCTGCGTTTCTGAATTAGTGAGGAAGCCAAGTAGAAGAGCAGGAGTTTGAAGTACCAGTAAAATTCCTGGGTGATGGGGTTACAATTACTGGTGGAAACAGAAAGTCTCTGGCCAGGGCAGTGGGGATGGCCCAGGGCCAACCATAGTTACCTTACACCCTGCAGTAGTCATTTTAGCAACTCATTTGAAACATTTGTTCCACTGTCAGAGTTGAGTGGATACAAGGACAGGCATCAGACCAGAATTCGAGAGCGTGCATGGAGGAGTCCAGCCCCTTCCAAGAGCCGATTCATTCCAATGACTGTGAACCACGTTCCGTTTGGCACTAGCTGCTGCTGCCTGCGGTTATCTTAAGTGGTGTACTCACCCCAGCCCCAGACTGTATAGTCAACAGGGAGTATAGTATTAGCAAACCTGGGTTACAGAAGGGAGGGGCCTGAAGCCTCGTCTACACTGTACCGGCATTTCTAAAGCGAGTTGGATGCGGTCACTTACAGGTGGGGATGGTGCAGTCTCGGGTGTTGTGGTAAAGTCTGTGGAAGTGTTTGCTGCACTTTGGGCTGAAATAAAGAGGACCTGGAACGTGGAAGAAGAAACAGATTGTGAGGGCTGCGGGATGCCAGGAGCTGGGGAGCGGCGAAGTAATGCGTGGAAAGCTTACCTGTAAGATGTTTCAGAAACTTGTCTTTCATCCTTAGATCTCGAGGAACAATTTCTGTTTGAGGGAAAGTAAGTTAATTATTAAATTGCCTGAAAGGAGCATGTTTTCATGTGATCCGAAGTGAATGTTTAAAGTTACTGGAAATTCTGCTCTGAACACAGCAGCCCCGTGATGGCAGTACGTGACGATGTGAAGACGGGTGATAGGGCACATTTTCCTCAAATCATATTAACTGCTCTCCGAGCTCCGGTCTTAATGCCCAGTCTCCACCACTAGGATAGAGGCAGGGACTGTAAAGTTATAGGCAAAGAAAGGTGTGTGTGTGTGGTGTGTATGTGACAGTTATCTTCCAGTGAATAAATCACTCGTAGACAGTTTCATCTTGAAGAGCTTGGGAATCAAATTCAACAACCTCTCAAAGTTCTAGGAAGAAAACCTGATCTCATACTTCAAACAAAAAATTTGCTATAGGTATGTATTCTTCTAGGTATATATTTAGAAAAAGGGTTAGTTGCTGTCAAAACCACTTGTTATGAAGGCTGGTGTGAATGCATGGAAACAGACATTAACCTGGTTGGATGAGATAAAGGTACAGTTCCCAGGGAAAGACTGACTGTACCGGCACAGCGCCTAGTTAGCGTTGGTAACTAACCTGACTGACGTTCTTTCTGATTTCAGCCTTGTTTTTGCTTTTTTTTTTTACAGTCATCTGGATTCATTTTCACTCACCTGTTCTGCACTAGTAATGCGATGGCACGTGGTCACACTACCACCAATTCTCCTCATCTGAAGAGGGAACATTTCCATAAGAGTCTTACTTGCAAGGTTTAGACATCTCCTAAATGTCAGTCTTCATTTACAACTAGCTTTAGTCAGTCTATATAAAATTGACCTTATCATATTTGACCTAATTGTGTCATGAAAGCATTAAAAGCTTTCATGCTTTCCTTGGTAATTTCCCAAGGGGCAGCCACTCTGGGAAGGCTCTGCCATGGGGGGGGGGCGGGGAATGGGAATTTCTGTCTCAGTTGAAACTGCTTTGCTGAAAATATTTCCATTTCCAAAATAACAGATGACAGTTCTATGCTGAAATTACTGACCTAGGTAACAACTCACATGTCTTAGAAGTGGATGAGGGATAGTTATGTTATCTGCCAGGCATCATTCATGGAATTCCTATTTCCTTCTCTAAAAAACATATTTCCCAGTTTTTTTAACAGTCAAAATTTATTTATATTTTAAAAATACGTATGTGTTCTCAAAGACAATTCTATTTCCAAGCAAGTACTAGTTCTTCTAGCGTCTCCTGAGACAGGACAGGCGGACCCGCCGTCAACACCGCACACACCCGAGAGGCCTTGGGAAGCGGTCCACTCCGTCTACACTGCCACGCGGGCGGGGACACTCACCCACTCTCTGCTCCTCCGCGTAAGCCCCGTAGTCCGAGACCTCCCTGCGGCCCAGGGTGTAGTCCTGCCGGCCCGAGAGCTGCAGCCTCTTGGACTCCCCCGAGTGGTACTTCCTGAGCTCCTGGACGATCTCCACGATGAGTTGCAGCAGCGTCTGCCTGTCCGCGGCCTCCCGGGTCTCCGCGATCCCCCGGCCGGGCCCCGCCGCCCCCAGCACGAGCAGCAGCCCCAGGAGGAGAGGACGCCCGGGTCCGCGCATCCTGCGCTCGGCCAGGCTGGGCGGATCCGACGCGCTCCCGGAGCTCGGCTCGCTGCAGGGACAGGGGTGCGGGGAGACACGGACAGCCAGTCGGCGGGGGGAGCGGGAAGGGCGGGAGAGGCCACTCCCCTCGGTCCGCGCGCCCCGGCCCTGCGGACCCAGAGGACGCCCGCCAACCCAGTGGATGGACGCCCCGCGCCGTCCCGGGCCTGGAGGGCGGGCGGGGGCCCGGCGGCGGGAGGCTGGGCCGCGGTCTCCACGAGGACTCGCCCTCCCCGAGGTCCCACGCGCTGATGCTGAGAGCAAGCCTTGGGTGCGCCCGCCCTCCGCGCGCGGGCGACACGGGCCCTGGCCGCCTTGCGCCCGCGTCCCGCCCCCGCCGCCGGCCTCCGAACTTTCCTGGAAATGGCGCATCACCGGCGCCCCGCGGCTCAACGCGTCGCCACAACTTTCCGTCCCCTTTAGACGCCGAGCGGGGCGGCGGCGGCCGCTCGCAGGGTCGGGCCCACACCCATCTCCCTCGGGGAGCGGCCGCGCTCAAGTTTCCAGCAGCGCCTTTGTGTGGCGGTCGCCCCCTCCTCCCGCTGTCCCCGATCCCCCCCCACCCCCCACGAGGAGCTCCCGCGCCGGGACCCTCGCCCCGGCCGCCTGCTGGGCCAGGTTCTGGAAAACCCTTGGCCCCCGGTGACGGGGCCCGGCCCACACCTGCCCGGCGCCGCCCGCGGGGCCACCTGCGCGCAGGAGCCCGGCCGGGTTACCTGTCCCCGCGCCCCAGAGCCGCGGGCGTCCTCTGGCGTCTGTCCCGGCGTCTGTCCGCGCGCCCCAGAGCCGCGCGCCCCGCTCGCTACTCCATGCCCGGCGGCGCCCGGGCCGGCGGAGCGCACTGGACGCGCGGGGAAGGGGACGCGGTGCCTCGGCAGCTCCGAGCTGGGAACCCGCGCTTGCCTGGGGTGCGCGCCGGCAGAGTCCGGCCTCGGACCTCGGGGCGCCTCTTATCCCCGCGGCCGCCGACGTCAGGAGGGTCCCCGAGGGCCCGGCGCGGGGCTTTAATTAGAAGCCGCTGAAGTGTTCGTATCCCCGCGCGGATCTTCGTCAGCCCCCCCCCCCCCCCCCCCCCCCCCCCGCCAACAACTCCTCCCATGTCTCCGTATCCCGTCTGTCTCCCCTCTCCCCACCCCCTCCAGCTCCCCCTCCGCGTCTCCCCCGTCTCCTCCCCCAGCTCCCCCACTTCCCCCCTCCCGCATCCCCCCCACCTCCCCCATTTCCTCTCTGCTCCAGCTCTACCGCCCTGTCGGTCTCCCTCCCCTCTCCCCTCCCCCCTCCCCCATTTCCCCTCTCCTGCCTCTTCCCCCTTCATCCCATCTCTCTCCTCCTCCCCTTTGTCCCTCCCCTTCACCCCCCGCTTCTCTCCTTCAGTCTATTTCCCTCCGTTCCTGTCACTTGTGACAGGATGAGAAGAAACGCCTTTACCAGGAACTCGGATCTGTTTTTGTCTAAATGTAGATCTTGGGCTATTAAAAAAGGAGCTGCCTGACTGCCTCGGCATTTAATAAGTCAACTGGAGTCTGTGCGTTTTGGGGGGAATCTGCCGGCGAGGCTGGGGACCACTCTGGGGCCGAGGTCCGCTTTGCCCGAGGCCGGTCCTAGGCGGGCAGCCCGGAGGGCAGGGGCTGGGTTAGGGCTGGGCACCTCGGGGCACAGCTGCCGGGCAGGACACCGGCAGCACCCCTCCCCCGCCACCACCCCCCCAGCCCCCGGACCCACGCACGAGGACAGCGCTCTGGACCGTCAGCGCCCACCCGCTCCCGGGTTCTCTCGCTCCCTTTCCCCGGAAACGCCCGCGGGAGCGCTCCCGGGTCACCTCCCTCCAGGCCCGACTCTTTCAGAAAGTTTTGGTTCTTTGGATTTAGGCAGGCACATTTGTGAGAGTTCAACAATTTATCTCCTTTAATTTTTTTTTTCTTGTAAAATGTATTATCAATCAATTGCGCACTTTCCCATTTTATTGGCGCTTTCTGGGCAGGAGCTGGACATCCTCCAAGTCGGCGATCTGACTGTGAAAGGTGTTCTCAGTTCAATACCCGAAAGGGAGCGTGGGGACCAGAATTAAAAGCCTCAGCCATTAGCCGGGCAGCGCACAGTGGGTGGATGGGGACGGATGGCGAGGATGCTGCGGGCGCGGCACTGGCGGCCTCGACGCCCCAGGCAGGGCCCGCGCCGAGCCTCTGTCTCTCCGTCTCTCCCTCTCCCTCCCTTCCCTCGGTCTGTTTCCTCAAGAAGACAAGAGTGTGGCAGAGTCAGGTGGGGTAAATAGAACAGAGACGAAAGACACTAAATTGTGAGTATCCAAGTCCAGCCCCTTCCACACTCGCACCTTTTAAGGGTATGTGCTTAAAGGAGGTGGTTTGATTTCTCAGTGAGGTTTTTTTTTCCCCCCCAAGCAATATGACTAAAATGTGAATGTTTCTGTCAAGATATACTCTAGAAACAGTAAACATTCATATCAAACTGCTCTTAAGCAGATAAACTGAGATATGTTTCCTTTTTCCCTTTCCCCTTTCTGTGTGTAAATGGAAGTTTAAGCTCCTCTTGGGAGAGCACCGCCTAGTGACAAGTCTTTCTCCGCCAGCACTCACCAGCATCCCTCAGGCAGCCCGGGTACTGTCTGCGCCGGACTCCTTTCCGGCATAATGGAAGCATGTGACGCTGCTATTGTCAAATATTTTGGTGTGAATCTGTTTTTGGAAAAACATCTTGCTGCAGTGAAAAAAGAAAAGAAATTAGCCCAATCACATATTATTTTAAATTTACAAATAATCTTTCTTTCTAAATAGTATCTTACCATATCAAAAGCTAGATATTTTTTTCTAAAAAATACCAGTAAGAACTATCTTCCACTGCCCCACCAAGCAAAGAAGTCTTGTTAGTAATCACTATTATCTTTTTTTTATTTTGCAGTTTTTAACGGGACAGACAAATGGATTCTTTGAATGACTCCTTCTACCACCCAGTTATATATATATGCCAACACTTCAGCCCAGCTTATTAGATACTTAGATGTATAAACAACAGCGACAAAACTGGTACTTGGTCAGTCTTTAGATTCAGGAGATCTGGCATTTGAGGGTCAGACAGTTCATGTATTAGTTCATCCGTTTTTGCAAAGCTCTGTGCTGAAATGACGGTAGGTGCCCTCAGTTTGAGACTTTTTTACAGACTTTTTCAACTTAATAAAAGAGTGCACTGATTTAGAATCTCTACTGAGCTTTTCCATTTGTGGTATTGTCAGAATGAACTTTTTGGAGCTCTCCGATCACCAGAAATATGTGCATTGTGCAGATTGCTGGCACACCTGATTGGCTGAATTAATTTGCGCTGGAGAAGGCGGAGCGGACTGTAAACTGGTTCACGTGGGAATGTGAAGTTGTAGCTGCAAATCGCTTAGACTCTCCACTATCTTTTGTGCAAAATGGTGGTTGGACTGGATGGTTTCTGAAGTCTAAAGCTATATAATTCTATGATTGTTACCAACAAAGTTTAAAAACAGCATAATGCAAGTTTCCTACAAAAAGCTGAAGGTAATTCACTGAAATAATCACTATGAGTTTCACATCCGTTTTCAGGCAAGAAGAGGTGATATATTCATATTAAGTAATTTAATTCCGTCCTTTAGAAAGCGAACAACTTTCTACTATGAAGTGCCCAAAAAAGATAAATGAGAAAATTACACAACAAACTATTTTCTAGCATTATTGGTAAAAAATAACTAATGGCTTAGTTTTCTAGATTTGATTTAGTATTTTGAGAAAACTATATTGGATCATAGAAAGGAAACTAACCAACGAGGGAAGAGCTGTGTTTAACTTACTTTTACTGTAGATCTATGTTGTCAGATGAAAAAGTTTTTTTTTTTTTAATTCATAAACACTGTAAAACTCCAGTGTTTCAACTACAATCAATTTTCTCTTTCTCCCACAAAAGGAATATATTTTATTTGAGATGACTATTAACTGATTTCAAAGACTTCTAAAGTAATATATATTAATGAACTATACGTTTTAAGACGGTAAAGCAATTATACTCCAATAAAGATGTTTAAAAATTTTTTTTAAATAAAATGAGTTGTTACATTTGTTCAACCATTATGTTGATCATTTAATAACGTAACTATACTCTTATTAGAGAGAAAACAATTACCTTTCATAAAGGATAACATTATGTGCTATAAAGAAATATTGCTTAATGTTTAACTTTTATCAGCTCTGTTATTTTCACTATTAATATGATGTTAGTATGCTAGGAATGTCCTAGAAACTGTATAAAGCATTTAGGAAGACAAGCTTTCTAACAGGACTGACCTTCTCAGTATAAATGTATCAATAATACATGTAACCCTTTATAAGTAACAACACTACCTAGTAGTGTATTCTGGGTTAAGGAAATACAGCTTTCACCTAGTTCTTTCCCTCAGATATGAAAGGGAGCACACTACTCTAAGGATATGTAGCTCACCCACCCCCCTTTCACTCCTCGATACACGCTTTTGAATTTGCAGAACCATGTTGCACGCTGGTCCAGAAACAATAGAGGCCAAAGGCTGTGCACAGGCTGGGGACACGCTGAGCATGACTGACTGACTCTAGCTCAGATTCTTGTCCCAGGGCCAAGCTGAAGAGGACTCCTCAGAGGCGAAAGGCTTAAAGGGAGCGTGGACCTTACCTTGTTCCTCGGAACTGGTTCAGTTACAAAATCCAGCTGGGGAAGATGTCTTGAGACTTGGTGACACTCATCTGTCCTTGGAGGCTCCAGTCTGGCACGCTTTGATGGCAACAATGAGAGTAAATTGAAATGTACACACCCCGCATCAACACATAAAAGAAAGACCCTCCTATTTATTTGGTAAAAAGCCCATCTCAAATTCATAAACAGTCAGATTTGCCCATGGGAATATCATACAAAGTACAGTCATGCTGAGGAACAACACGACACACCCACATCAATATATCTTCTGGAATTTTTTTTTCCTGCAGGAGATAAATATCCCGATCAAAGGAGACACGTGTACTGACTGGGGTCAGTAGGCGCTTCCAATGTGCCAGAAAGGTACCGCATTCTAAAGATAGGGTGGGCGCAAGCTACCCCTAAGCAACAGCCCATGCATTTTAGTGGCTTAATGCAGCACAACTTTATTTCTCTCAAGTCCTGGTCTAATATGTGGAGGGGAGTGGTCTCTTCCTGCTGTCACTCAGGCTCTGTCTTTCTTGGGATCTGAAGTCCCCACTGGGCTCTCTGCATCTGGCCTGGGAGACGTGGTGGAGCAGGCCAGGAGCTGGAACACGGCACTCCTGCCCAGTTCCCGTGGCCAGCACCCCACCAAGCCCTCAGCTCGTCCTCTTGCAAGGGGTGGGTCCAGATCGATGTGAGTAGGAGGGTCAGGCTCTCTTCAGAAAACTAACACATGTTGCGTTTTCTTTCCCTTAAGCAATTCAGGAAGAAACAACTCTTAAC